AGACACACAGCAGTGGCAAGAGGGTTGCAAGAGAGAGAAATGGCACGCACTTCGCGAATTGCGCATTCGAACTTTCCTCCCTGTCGCTTGACGCAATGCTCCCAAGCATTGCGTTGTGGTGCGCCATGCTTCGTAGAACATCACGGACAAGCCCCACAACCCATTAATGGCGAGACACGAAAAGTTAGCGCTGGCAAGAAGAAGGGAACGAATTGGAGGTGTCTGTGCGTTGTGCAACCTTGCAATGGAAGAGGAGAGAAGGTGAAAAAGGATTTATTTATTTACCCCGAGAGAGAGAGAGAGAGAGAGAGAGAGAGAGAGAGATGGCCTTGACACACACCCGCCGCCTTTCCCAAGATAACAAACGACCCGAAGAGTCAATAATATTCGAAAGATGGGACCCTTGATGTGGTGCTGGCTGAAAAACAGCAGCCTCACCTGTGGGGTGTGTACGAAAGAGAGCGATGCAATCGTTGGCAATGAATGCTTGCCTCCCGCACGAAGGGAGCCTTGCGCGGCCGTCTGTAAGATGCCCTTGCGGGTGTTGGTTATTTTGTTATTTTGGATTTATGTTTTTTGTTCAGAGACACACACACATGTCCATTGTTGGTGAAGAACTCCCACCTTTTCAGCCATCGACAACACGCTCGTTTTTCGTTTTTAGCCCGTATTCTGCAGACCGCGCCTGCGCAACGCGTTTGCCCTGCGCTTGGTGTGGGGAGTTGCGTGCTGCGTAGCTCGAGTTCCCTCGCTGCCGTCGTTGCAATTTGTCCGACAGAAACATCACGTATAAGACAGCTGTATAATAGAGACAGCAGCGGGCAGAGGTTCGGTAGTTGCAGTTGCTGCGCTGGCCCGGAGAGAGAGCGGGTGAAATGTCGTGGGCAGGCGCACAGCACAAACCCCCTCCGCTGGTATCCACGGGTGGACGGGAGTGTCCTTTTTGCCCACGCCGGGGGCACGAGATAGATATCTTCCTCTCGGCGTTGGTGCACAACACAGGAATACAAGCTGCGTGAGCAGACGCCCCCAAGTTGTCGCGACCCGCCCATACGCAGCAGCAGCGAAGTCTGTCGTTTCGTCAACCAGCACGTACGTACCCTACTGCTGGATTTGATAGAGCCTCCCGACGATTAGGGTTGGAATTTTCTCGAGCTTGCATCATCTGTGAGAGGGAATTCCAACAACGAACGGCGTGTGGCGAACGGGCGCTGCTGACCTACGGCTTCGCAACCCACTGGCCGTCACAAAAACCAATATAATAGATAAATTGTAGCCCTGCCGCGGTGCTCAGATGATGTAGAGGTGCGTACGGTACCTTCGAAGTTTTATTCAGCACGACAGAGCAGCCCAAGCAACGTGACATAGCGTGCGTGCAAAGTGGTTTCCCGAAAGAGCGCAGGATCTCTCCGACCCTGCATTTTGTTCCGTCCTCTGGCCTCTTCTTTGAGGAACCGCATGATAGTCTAGACCCAAGGTGATGTAGCTGCATGCCTTGCTGTCGTTCATCGTGTGCTCCTGCCGCATGCACGCTGATAAACAGTGGTAGACAGCAGTAATGTATAGTCAAGTGAAGTCTTGCGGACCCCCTGTATTGTTTTTGTACACTCCCTCTTTTTTGCGTAAGTTAGCCTGTGACCACGGAAATCGACCACGTCAAGTGTGTTTTAGACTACAATAGTAGAGAGATCGGCACGGTTGTTCATGCGAAGACAACACACACTTCCGTAAAGGTTTGCGTCATTTTTGGGATCTCGGCGAGCTTCGCCTCTCCGAAGTAAATAAAAACCTTCTTTGTGACTGGAATTTGGCTGCAAGAAAAACCCGCGAAGAATCCAAGAATCTGTTTTGTTTCGCAACCCACATCATGCACATACATCTCTTGAGAGAGCATCCGACCCTCGCGCCTAGAGCTCACCCATCTCGGCGCCTCTGCACCCGAGACTCGCCACACCCAGAGAGATAACTGCCACACCATTGTCCTGATGATCTCGCGTTAAATCGGCAAATCGGCCATGCCGTGGTGTCATTATCGCTGTTGCCTCATCATTATAGGTTATTTGGTCGAGCGGTGTCTTACCACTCTCCAGCCCCCTCTCTCTGGTGCGCGTTCCGAGCGCGTTCCGAGAACGATTGCGGCTGAGCGGCTGAGCCGCGTTCTCCCCCAGTTTGCGGGCGTCCGTTGACCGTTGGCTGTGGGTTAGGGTTAGGGTTAGCGTTGGTTAGGGTTAGCGTTTGCTTTGGTGGGTCACCTATGGTAACATGTGCCGTTCGACTGCTGTGGGTATATCTCGAATGGGTTGTCTTCCTGTGTATTTATTTATTTTTCCTTGAATGAATGTGGTATGACACACGTGTGTGCGGAGCAACGGCTCAACGTCCCGTCAGACCTGAATAAAGAGTCAAGAACACAAACACAGAGCAAATTAATTAGCACCAGGTCTACGCTTAAGAATGAAGTAAAAGGAAAAAAAGCAAATTGTGGCGCGGGAGTGAATCATACCCCGTGGTGGCACGTACAGGAGGAAGAGAGTGCGCCAGGAATTTTCAGCGCGGCAAAGGGAGAGGAGGAGTGGGTGCGGTGTCGTGCGCATGTCTGCATCATATGCATAGCAGCAGAGTTGACACTGCTGCTGCTGTGGCTACTCCCACGAGGAAGAAGAGCGGGTAATCATCTACAAGGCGCAAGAGAGGTCTGAGTGAGCAATGGGTTCGGTTGATCCTCCGCCTGGTCTGCATTGATCCCCCGCCGCCCCTCAAAAAGAAGCTCGAGAGGATTGATTTTCCCCATTGCTGGAGTCTGTGAAGGTCCCGTACGTCAAATCTCTCCGGTGTTTTGTTGTTTGTTTTTTGAGTGAAACCCCCCCGTTTCGGTTTTCGGCCATTTTATTGTTTGCTTCGTTTTTTTTAACCAACACACGGCAGCAGCAACATCAGAGCATCACGATCATTTATAGCATCAAAGTCAAAACAACGTGGCCCGTTCGAGAGGAACACCCGTTCTAATTTCGAAGGGGTGTGTTGAAAGTCTTCGGGTTTGAGGGTCACCTGCTGGATAACCGCGTTTATTTTGGATGAATCACGGTCATTTCCTTCGGCACTTCTGGTGTGGCGTTATTTCATGGTGTGTCGCAGGCAGTGAGGGTGTGACGGCCCACGCGGACGTTGCTACCGCCGTCTCATTACAAGATGCCCTTCGTTCATTGGGGTTGGCGGATGTTGGCTTGGTCGTGTCGCGATGAAACCCGTCATGCGCCGACTCACATCCAGCATCATCCCGCCTGGGAACGCAACGGTTGTGTTCTTCGGGTAGATGTCGGGAAATTTGCTTAACTTTAATCCGCCTCCCTGCGTAGTCAGTCCCACGACATTACGTTCCCATCGCTGCAGCACTCGTTTTGTGGCTCCTGTACAGTATCGCAAAAGTTTCCAGATTGTTTTAGGGTTCTCGCACGGGGTTGTGGTGTGTGGTGCATGTACATGGCAAAAACCTCTCCAAGGTGTTTTTTTTTTTTACGGTTCTCACCCCGAGTTTGTGGCGCCCCAGTAGCTTTCTTTCCACTTGTCCATCGCAGCGCAAGCTTTGGACTGCAGGACCTCTCTGGTGAGCTAACCAAACGAACGACACCGCATCTCTCTTTTGTTTTGGGGGAGGAGCCCGCAATGCCACCGACTACTACGGGGCGCGCATGCCTTCCGCATTGACAGGACAGCCCATGTTACATTATTCGGTGCGCTCTCGGCCACGGCTGTGACTGCTAAAATTAGGAGCCGTTGGCGCCCCCTTCCTATTTTAGCCTCCAATCAAAACGGCGGCTATTTACCCTGTTGCGCGAGCAACTAAACTCTGCTGCTGCGTCAACTCTTCTTCTCCCTTTTCGTTCACGGCAATATCTTTGTGCTCCTGACGAGAGCGTTTTGCTTCTGACGAGGATGACGCATCCATGCCCTCGCTCGACCGCGAACCGATTTTGTCATCCTTCGGGGCGCCCTCGCAAATGGTTGGTTTGGTTTGTTGCTTGAATACGTAAATTACGTTCCGTCATGAAATCCCTCCGTCCGTCCGTCCGTCCGTCCGTCCGTCCGTCCGTCCGTCCGTCCGTCCGTCCGCCAAACATTCGCCCACCAGCCCCCACGGAGGCGTTAATCCTGCTCGAGATTTCCCGGGATTGCTCGTTCCGCTGGGCCACGACACGGCAGCGGCTGGTGGAGGCGGCTTCGGCTGCTGGGCGTTTTCGATGGCGGAGGGTCACGGAGGAGCTGGCGTCGCATGCACCCGACAGAGCCTGACACCGCGCCGGCGGCGGCGAAGACGGAAGTTGCTACCGGCGGGATGGCTGCTGGTGCTGCTGCTTTTGCTAGCGCTGCTGGCAGCGCCGTGTTGTTCGTCTGCTCCTGGTGATTCCCGACGGGCGACGGATCTTAAAGCCGACTTGGTGAGGGGTGCGGTTGGTTTGATGGAGAGACTAGCCTTCTTTTGTGGCCACAACAGAGGCAATGAATGCATCGGCAGGGTAGCACGGCGGTAGTTGGTGCGGTAGCTCAGGTGTTGTCGATTTCGATATCGATGCTTGTTACCCGCGCTGTCGAGCAATACTCGGATAACCGTAGACCCTTCAAATGTGCCTCTACCAGACTATTATTGTACTATGCATAAAAGTATGTTATAAACTCCGGACTCGGCCGCATGGCGGTCTCGTCGTCAGGTCACAGGATGTGTGTCTGACCAAGGTGCACAATGAACAACTATGTACTGTAGCAGAAAAATGATCCTGAAACAAGAGCACCACCTTTCCTTGTAGCTCCCTGGCAACAGGCAGCTATCGGTGCACTCGGGCAACACGTCGCGCTCCTTTGATGACAGGCACGCCCCCCCCCCCGCCCCCCCTTCTTCCGCGACCCCGCCGCACGAAATGCGTGATACCATGATTAATGGCTCTGTGTATGCTTATTTTCGCAAGGGCCCCCCATGTTTACTACGAAACCCGGAGACGTTGGCGATGGAACTACCCGGGGTACTCGTGAGAACACCGTGCGATACGGCGGAGCCCCCGCGTCGAAATCTCCACGGCGACCGCCGTGAGCGGTACCGTCCGGAAGGAGGCCGCGAGTGCTACCGTTGCTCCCCGCTTCAGGGCGATGCGGCAGTGGCAGCAGAAGACGACGGCGGGGAACGATTGGTCCGTGTGCACGATCTTCCCCCCGGAGAAAAAAGAAAAGAAAAAAAGAACAAGCTTCGGGCCGACGGGGAACGCGGAGGGCGGCGTAGAGAAGGGGGTTCGTCCGTTAGGGGTACCGCCACCGCCGTCGCCCCCCCCGAGGGCGGGGCCGTGGAGCTAACAGCAGGCGAAGCGGGGCCGGTCAAGCGCGGAGGGGGAGGAGCGGCCGGCATCGGCGCGGCGCTGCTGGGCGCGGTGCTGTCCGGCCTTGCTGCGTTAGCCGCGGGCGGCGCAGGGGACGACGACGCGCTGTCGGAGAGCGTGTTCTTGGGTGTCGGTGGCGCAGGCTCCGGCGACGGGGGCGATTTTGAAGCTGCCGTTCATGGGGATGCCGCCGGTGGCGGGCTCATTCGAGGCAGCGGCGGCGGCGGTGGTGGCGCTGTTTACGGGAGCGGGCGGTCGGCGGCGGCCAGGAAGAGAAGGGAGATGGACCCTGCGAACAGGAGAGAGACAGGAGACGAACCCCGTTCGGCAGTCACTGGGCGCAAAGGCCTAGCATTCGGAGGAGCGGGCGACGCTGATGGTCCGGGGGCTCGGCCTCCGTCTACCGAGCCCCCTGGTGGTGGTGCTAGTGGAACCGCTGGTAGCGTCCCGGACGCTGGAAACGAATGGGACGCCCACACAACGGCGATGACGTTTCCCGAGCTGGGCGGAGGGGTGCCTGCCGTCGCGCGCAGGCTTCAGGTGAGCTTGTAGGCGACGTGGCATGTTGCGGGAGTCCGCCCCCGGCCTCTCTCTTGTTTGAATCGTTTCGGCGTCGCGTCTTCATGGCCCAACCCTGACTTACACCGTAGCCGCGACCGTTATAGTGATCGACCGGCTTCTCTTTGAGGGGTCGACCCTCTTCTTCCTATTTAGCCTTCGGCCCTAAGTTATGCTAAAGCGCCTTCCGTGAGGAACAATTATGGCACACCCCCGTTTGAGATGGGATCATCGGTGTTTTCGTTGGTGGCGTGTGTGAATGGAATCATGCCCGCCCAGCTCCCCGACCTTCAGACCGCCAGAGGGGAGGATTTGTTGAATTTCCCTCTGCCGCCGACGTCACTCACCATTGTTTTGGTTTTTTTCAAGGCGCCTCCCTCCCTCCTTGACTTTTCAGCAGTATAGTAGTGTTTTTTTTTGTGTTTTGCCTGCTTTTTTTTCTCATGGGTTGTACAGTTATATGCAATCACTTAACTTTTATTGTTTTTGGTATATTTATGGGGGGGGGGCTGTAGCCATCGCTTTGCGCCGTCCCTGTGACGCCCATCCGTGTACCAACCACGGCATCAAACCTAGCCGAACGATTAATAAGAGTTGGAAGCCCGGGACTTTTCGGAGACGATGTAGAGCACGACACTCCGCGCGTTGGGTGACTGGATGTCCCACCCCGTACCCCCCCCCCCCGCCCGCGCCCTTTGCTGCATGCACAATCCTGCAGGCAGACACAACGGACGCACCAGCCCCCACGCCGGATGCCTCTGTACCGTCCACTCCTGCGCCGATGACGGACCCGACTCCTGCTCCAGTGACGCCCCCGACTGAGGTACCGTGCGAAGATCGGGTTCATGTAGTTGCGGAATGTCCGCTGTACAAGGGAGAGGGAAATGTACATGGCTTGAGCAGGGAAATGTAGAGTTAGTGTACAGGGAGATGTTTGAGGCATGGGGTAGCCAGGAGAAGAAGGTGTGGGTCTACTGGGACATAGGAGGTGGGTTGAAACCGCGGGACGTGATATCGATAGCATAGGTAAGGGGAAAAACATTTTGAGCCAACTTTGGCAAAGTAGGAAGAAACAATTGGCCATCGGTGATCTGTCCGGTGGGAACAAAATTCTCCGTCATTCTTCGTCCTCAGGACGCGTGGTCAACGGCCTAACCGCTAAGTCATGCATGCAAACATAAGAGTACCTCCCCACCCCCCTCCCCCCCCTAGGTACCGGTGACTCCTGCGCCCATGACCCCCCCAACCCCCGCGCCAATGACTCCCACAACTCCCGCGCCAATGACTCCCTCAACTCCTGCGCCCATGACCCCCCCAACTCCTGCGCCAATGACTCCCACAACTCCTGCGCCCATTTTTTTCCCAACTCCCGCGCCCATGACTCCCTCAACTCCTGCGCCCATGACCCCCCCAAC